TTCGAATTAATGGAAGTGAGCATATCCCTACATATATCATTTTAAGTTATAGGACAAGTGTGTGTGATCGGCTGTCAGAGGAAGGCTTCTATCCCATTAGGTATGTAAACATAGCGTGTATATGTATTTACGTGTGTTCAAGTGTACTTTTATTTCGTCAAAATTTCGGCAGCACCTACCCGCTGTACTTAATCGGATCCGGATCCTCTACTAATGAGAGGGTTCCTAATATCTCCTAATGAGATCTTGGCCTTTGATTTATCAATCAAAGGCCAAGATCTCCTCATGCACAAAAGTAGGCGGGAGATAAGGATAAGATATTGCTGTTCTCCGAGTACACTATAGTACACGGAGAACAACGAGTAAGCACCGCCGAAACTCTGACGAAAAGAAAGTACACAAGAACACACGTAAATACATATGCACGCCATGTTTACATACCTAACACGTCCAAACTGGACAGATCCAATAAATATTTATATATAAGCCCTCCGTCACATACGAGTACGGAAAGGTTATCGGACCGAACACGATGGTATCGTATCCGCCAACAATCCTGTACGCGTATGTGACAAGTAAATAAAGAGATTATATATAGTATTTATTGGACGGGGTATTCTACGGCTCGAAAATATGAGTGTACAATGTGTGCAATTTCTATGTAATTAGCGATATAATAGTTACGATAAACCCTCACAATCACCTCACCCTCATTGTAACCATCACCCTAACCCTAACCCTAACCCTCACCTTCACCCTCCCCTAACCCTAAACCTAAACCTAACCTAAAACTCACCTCAAACTCACCCCCACCCCCACCCTAACCCTCACCCTCAGCATCACCCCTACACTAACCCTAACCCTAACCCTCAACCTCACCATCACCCCCACACTCACCCTCACATAACCCTAACCCTCACCCTCACCTTCACCCCCTCACCCTCATCTAACCCTAACCCTAACCCTCAACCTCAACCTAAAACTCACCCCCACCCCCACCCAAACCCTAACCCTCAGCATCACCCCCACCCTCACCCTTACCCTAACCCTAACCCTAACCCTCAACCTCACCATCACCCCCACACCCACCCTCACATAACCCTAATCCTCATCTAACCCTAACCCTCAACCTCAACCTTACCATCACCCCTACGCCTCATCTAACCCTAACCCTCAACCTCAACCTTACCATCACCCCTACGCTCACCCTCACCTAACCATAACACTAACCCTCACCCTTACCTTCACCCTCCCCTAACCCTAACCCTAACCCTAACCCTAATCTTAATTTTTTTATATTATAAATTTAACAATATGAATATTTTTTATTAGGGTTTTGATTTTTCTATAATTTTTTGGTTTTGCAAAAATTAAATTATAATTATAACTACAATCTTAAATTTTTATTAGGGTTTTGATTTTTTATTAGGGTTTTGATTTTTCCATAATTTTTTGGTTTTGCAAAAATTAAACTATAAACTATAAGATTGAGGGGGGAGGGGAACAGGGGTACCGTTGAGAAGAGAGGGGGGAGAGTCAGATCGGCGGCGACGGCGACGGTGGCGGCGACGGCTCCATCCCAACGGCGGCGACGAGAGGGGGGCGCGGGCTCTGAGAGTAGGGGGGCGCGGGTCTGGGAGTGAGAGAGGGGAAAGAGAGGGGGGCGGTGGCGGGTCTGAGCTCCACCCAACGGTGGCGGCAGCGACGGCGGCGAGATGGGGGTGCGGGTCTGAGAGCGGGGGGGCGAGGGTCTGGGGGAGAGAGAGGGGGAAAGAGGGGGGGTGGCGGTCTGAGAGAGGCTAATAAGCCTCTCTCGGTAAATTCGGGTGCGGGCTGCCCAAAAATTTTGGGCGCCCGCGCCCGAAATTTTTTTCCCACCCAAAACTTTTAGCAACGGATTATTCTGTCGCTAAAAGTAGTTTTAGCGACGGAAATTCCGTCGCTAAATGATTCTTTACCGACGGAAATGAAGATTGTCGGTAATATTTTAGCGACGGAAAAGTTTAGTCGCTAAAACAACATTTTCCGTCGCTAAAACATCATTTTCCTACGGAAATATAGCGACGGAAATTCCGTCGCTATAAGTCATGTTATAGCGACGGAATATTCCGTCGCTAAATTTCCGTAGCCAATAACCCATTTTCTAGCAGTGACGCTATTTGTTGTTTATTTTATGTTAGGCAGATGCTTGTGTCAGTCCTAATAGATCTATTGCAAAGCTACCGACTTGCAGGTTTTTAATGATCCACACCGCACTAACGATGTATGGACATAAATTTGAAAAAGAATGAGATTCTCGGGGAGATTTTGACTCGGGGAGTCAATGACTTATTTGACTCGGGGAGTCAATGACTCAGGGACTCGACTCAGGGAGCAACGCTCATTTGTGTGAGTGGGATTGCGTTGGTTATTGTTATGAGATAAACATCCAAATAAGTGGGTGGATAGTATCTTATGTTAGAGATAAGATATTCATAATCCTAGTAAGTGTAGAATTCTATCTCTAAGCCCTTCTACATATAGATATAGGATTTTTATGATAGGTGAGTGAGAGAATATACCAAAAACTTTCACATAGTCATCACCTCCTTCTCCGATTAAATTCGTGCTTTATGTTAGTCATGAGGTGATATGCAAGAGCTTCTTGCCGGTTGCATAGTGTAGTCGCCCTTCGACCGTTGATCAAGAAAGGCGTGGCGATCCTATAATAGAAACGATCCGTTTGGTAAACACTAAAGTTGTTGTTTTATTTCCTAGAAAGCATACTAGTGTTTCTTTATTACCCTGTGCATAATCTAGATGTAGATTTACCCTACTGCATGAGTATAGTTGCCTGGATCCTACACCTCCATGACTCCAAAATATTATAAAACACCCCTTAAGTCAGGGGTTTTAAGGGTTATTAGGAAATCGCCTTTAACTGTAGATTTTATTAGAAAATCATTTTAAAAGTGTGAACCATAGTTGTCATTAGCGAAAATACCCCCACCTTACGTATGTTAACCCATTTTGGAGGGTTTTCTAATAAGATCTTAAAGTAAAGTTGTGTTTTCTCATAGCCCCTAGTTTAAGGAGAATTTTCTGATATTTTGAAAGTTCTTGTTTTTGTGCTATCTAAATTACGTGTAACTATATTTGCAACTCCAGCCGTTGCAGTCAACCAAAGGCATGGTTGGAATACATGCCAAATGTGAATTGTGGGTCAAATATTGCATATTGATATTGGTTTATCGATATTTGTCAACTTATGAGGAAAATATTGGATAAAATAGTTAAAGTGGCATGGTGCAATGTCTTAATAATGATTTGCATGTCAGAAAATTAAAAACATTCTTCAACATTTTTATAACGATATTTGAACTAACTCGTGTAAAGAAATACGTAACTTATTTAAGTACACATACTCAAGGAACAAGTAATAGAACGTTTGTCTTTCATGCCCACTGGGATTTCTTAGTGACCGCTAAGTTTAAAAAAAAAACATGACAGCAAATATTTGGAAGATAAACTTGCCGAAAACCTTTACATAAAAATATCACTCAGTTGTTGCATATGGAGAGGGACTAATATCTGTATCCGTCCCCATTTTCAGAGACAATTACAATAAATTATTTAAAAGCATATTAAAAGAAAAAGTAACAAAATGAAAATCATTTAATTACCAATGTGTATCGCAATGCATGTATTTACTAGTAGTTACCTGTGTGATGCACAGATTGAACTTAATTTTCTTGCATGTACGGCGCTTCTACAGGGACCCCAAATAGGGGATCCAAGGGGGGGAAAAGGTGAGTTGTCCCCGTCCGATTGGATGATGCACTGTTCATGTCCCTCTCCGGTTGGATAATGTCTATTCATGATGCACTGTTCATGAACAGTGCATCATCCAACTAGAGGTGGACAGCTCNCCCCGGGTCCCCGGGGCATTAATCTTGTTGAAGTATTAATTACTCAACGAGAATAAATTTGTTATGTTTCTGTATTTTAGATTCTTTTTTTTTTCTTTCTATAAGCTGCATTTATATTCATATCAAAATAGACTCAATACATGATTTCTCACTTATATGTACAAAAAACATAACAAACAACCATCAATAATATTGGTTGCATCTACCCTCAGCTAAAATAATTCACCCGTTCTTGAAACTGAGGTGGGTTTGGGTAATGGAAAATGATTTCAAACAAAAAAAAGTCTTCACAGCTTGCCTGATAGCCACCCCTGAGCTTGAGCACTTATTCTCGCGAAATCTGATGTTCGTCTCCTTCTAAATAAATAGCAGCTAGCAGAGATGGCTTTCTTCAGTTTCCCATCGTAGGCATTAATTGCCTTTACATAGATTTCTCCACTTTAAATAGATCTCGTGGATCCATTCAAACCACAATAGAAGTCTCTTCTATTGAGTTATTTGAGGTCAGCTTTCAGATTCCTCAACTTGGATGCAACTCTAAACATAAGGGCAACTTCTAACGCAAGGCGGATTCAGGATTTCAGGTTTTTTTTTTTTTGGGGGGGGGTTGGGGGGAACGCCCAAACAAGACGAGTAGAATAGCCAACGTCAATATCTCCAAAATATTTCAAAAAAGGAAGACAAAAATTATGTAGAAAATATTCAAATAAGCACCATCTAATTTTTTTTATAACTAAAACTTCTCTAACTAAAAGGAATTCGACGTTGCTTAAAATTTTCAAACTCTTCAATGATAGCATCAATGCTCAGACTTTTAGCAATTTTTCTTTCAATAAACACCACTAATGCGTCTAAGAGGAAAGCATCCTCCATTTTGCTTCGAATCCTAGTCTTGACGTACGAGTCTTGAGATAAAGAATTGAATATATTTTAATTTTTAAGGGAGGAGGTTTCATAATGAGTACGTGCAAAGAATGAATATGTTATGCGACGTAAATCTGTACATACTCTCTCTTTTACAATGAGTACGTGCAAAGATAGTATTGTTCAAAATTGTAACAGAGTGCACAAACAAGGCAACTTTAGAGGAAGGAAAAATAACCACACATTTTACAACCACCATCGCTCAAAAATTACAGATGCAGCAGAAGTGACCCCCTTTGCTTTTCTCATCTACCTATTCACACAAAAACTTCGGGGAAAAAAAAACACAAAACAATGTAGTAGAACGAGCTCCAAGCTAAAATCAATCGCTAACCTAAAAAGAGGAAACGCACACCGAAAAAAACAATATAAACACTATTAACACAAATTGACAAGATCATGAAATCTCAAGATTACACTTGCATCTGCACAATTTCGATTGAAGACATCGATCTAGTTGAACCTGTTCTAGTTGTCCCGTCTCTCTCGAGACAGTACGCCATCAGTATTTTTACGACTTGTCTGTACCGTCTCCTGTAAGTGGGGAACTTTGATATGCTCCTCATCATACCCACCAACCTGAAAACTTTATTTTGTAAGTTACCTAGTAAAACATCAATCTAAGCATTTTTAATTGCGGATAGACCCTCTGTAGTATTGTTGTTCTGAACTACTACCCATCTAGCTTTACTGATAAAACCCGCGTGTGATTTTTTGACTCTCCTAGCCCCCAAGGGTCTATTTGTCAAAACACAAATTTCTATTTCTCCACTGGTAAAAGTGTAAAAAGAATTTCACTCGAGGGATCTACAACAATAAAAGTAAAGGGTGGTAAGTTCAAAACAGAGATAGCGCTGGGGGGTCTACCTGTTATTAACCCTCGTGAATATTGCTACATGAGTATCCAAGGGAAGTTTGAAGCATTGTAGCATACTGCTCTTTATAAGCTTTGTAGCATTCATCAAAATTTTCAAGAAATATAATCTAACGAGAAGCTAAAAAATTCTTTGATAGTTTAAAATGATCTTTTTATCAGGTACCTTAATAGAAAGAATGAAGGATATGCTACGCTGATATCTGATGCCTCAAATGAAATGTCACCGGATTTGATAATTGGAAATATCATTTTTCTATGGTTTTCTGTCACGCCTTGGGCCGGTAAGCTTGTTGCGCGATGTCAGCACTGAGACTCACTGAGTGTAACACGTTGTTTGATTTAAACCAACGCAAAAATTGACTAGCTTATGTTACACTTGGATCTCATGACATACCTTTTTGAACTCATTAACATCCTTGCATTGCCTAATGTGGGACAAAAGACTGAGGGTGTCACAATCATCCCACCTTAGGTACGTGTGTCCTCATCACAGCGTGACAATGGTCCATATAGGATCACTAGGTGAATTCAATTCTAGAGGTAACTCTTATGGATTCTATAGGTGACTCCAATGGCACCCACGCGATGTACCACTTAGTCTCGCATAACATTTAGTTCCACACTTCAAGCCAGATAACTGTTTTGATATCATTTGTCATATCCTTGGCTCATGAGCCCACTGGCACGATGTAAGTCCCGAGACCCACTAAGTGCAATATACTATTTGGCCCAAATCACTGTTAAAATTGACTAGCCAATGTTGCACATAAACTCCATGACATCCCCTTAAACTCATTATATCTTTGTCACTTCCCAATGTAGGACTAAAGATTAGGGACATCACATTCATCATTTATTAATTTCAAGACATTCATCTGAGCAATTTCTTTGACAGGCCCCAAAAAAATCAGGAACTTCTTTTCTTGGAGACAGGAAAATTAAAAAAAAAAGGAAAATGACCGAAAAACTCATTAGATAGAGGTAAAAATAGTAACACAATGGAGTAGTAATAATAATAATTAGCGGTACACTGCAATTGGTTGGTGAAAGATAGATAATAATAGATCTTGAAAGTGCCTTAAAGCAAGTTGATTTCTGGGTACTATAGAAGTTTGTTTGCATTTAGTTCATCCTGGTTTTCGATGAAATTAAGCATTTAGAAAAGATGACTAATACGTAATAAGGTTGAGCACAAAACCAGCTCTATTAAATTGAAAATATATGGGTAAGGTCATATGTTAGTATACCACACCAAAGACAAGTTTTCAATTAATGTCTAAACGCTGCTATGATAATGAACATGCATAAAATTCATAAGCCCATTGATCCAGAACAACATCAATGCAAGTTTGAAGTGGATGATTAGGTCTATGTTGCACAGGAACGGGAACAGGTGCAGGTACAGTACAAGGCAAGGCAAATTTGTAAAAGTTAAGAGTCTGGAGATACGGCTATATATGTATACATATTAAATTAATAGTTTACATGAGATCAATATTGCTTTTTCATTCACGTGTTTAGATAACTAGAATTCCAATGACATTTTTACGTTTCTTTCATTAAGATTGAAAACCCCTCGATTTTGAATTAAATACCTACATGACCATTTTCATATTTTGAACTTGTATGGGTTCAAACAAACCCAACTCATGTCTAGCGAGTTGTAGAAAATGGATGTGAAGTGTAATATATGCATCCGAGAAATGTATGATCAGTGGGTTACACTAAAACATGCATTATATAATCGAGTACATGTCTGAATAAATGTATGAATATAGTCAAGAAGTTTCCAAGAAGTGTGAGAGTCGGGTACGCGAGCCCCTAAGTTACATGGATATGGGTATGGGTGCACTTATGGGACACGAAAAATTTGTAAAAAGTAAGGTATGGGGACTTGGCTACACATATATGCGTACATATATATAGCAATACTTTACATGAGATCAATATTATTTTATCGCTTACATGTTACGAAACAATTTATGTTTCTTTATATAGATCAGTATATTAGGAAATACTCATTTTTTAACCTGACATCCAAAAGACTCTTTAAGATCATAGTTTGAAATTTGAATTAGGCACAGACTGAAAACAAACCCAACCAGTCCAACGAGCTTCAAAAAGTGTATGTGAAGTGTAGGATATATGTCCAAGAAGTATATGACAAAGACATTAAATTAAAAATATGTATTATATTATTGACAACATGTTTGAATAACTGCGTGCTTATATCCAAGGGGGTTTCCACTCAAGTTTCACTGTTGGGTACAGATACGACACTGTTGCGCGCAGCGGAAATTTCGGCAGCACTTCGACAGCACAACAAGAGAGTCAGGTCGCAATAAGAATTCTTGTTTCTCAAAGGAAACAAGAATCTGAAGCCTATATCCTATCAAAGTAGGATATTAGCTCTTCCTCTCGTCAGCTCTAGGACTGCGCGTCGAGGGACCCTAAAAAGCTATTACAAATCACACAAAAGCAGTACAACCAATTTTAACGTGGTTCGGCAAATTGCCTACGTCCACGGGGCAAGGAGGGGGGAGATCTACTAATAGAGGGAGAGAATACAAATAGGGTTTACAACCACTCACAATCTAAACCCTCACACAAACTCTCAAATCCCTCACACAAAACTCTCAAAAGGGAGATACAAAAACCCTAAATAAAGGGGACTGCTCAAAACCAAAAATCCCAAAAGAAAGCTCCCGCACCTTTTCCCTCTGCCTCAGCCGCAAAAGAGAACAAAACAAAACTGCCCTTGCACACTTCCCCGCAGCCACAATCTTGCACTGTAGCCGCCAAGTTCACAAATCCTCCTTGCGTTCTTGCTCCTGTAGCCGCACAAGTGCACAGCCGCAAAAGAAAGAAATCAAAACCTCCCCTGCTTGTTAACTCAAAACCTAAGAAAAAAAAAACAACGTTTATATATAAACGTGATGTTGGGCCTTCGTGGGCTTCACTTGCGGAAAAAGAAACGCGTCCGCGTCCGGCTTCTTCATTCACGCGGCTTCATCACACGAGTCCGCGTCCGGCTCGTGGTCTCGTGGTCCCCACCTGCACAATTCTCCACCTCGATGAAGTTTTCCCAAAACTGAGCCGACACCAAAGCAACCAAATATCCCACTTGTTGTGTCCAGTACGAACTCAATCCACAACAAGTCAAGAACCCAAAACGAGAGTCCAAACAATCTCACCCCCATCAACAAATCCAAACCGGCTGCATCTGAAAGACTGCCTACGTATCCTCTTGCCCAAGGAATCAAGCCAAACGTAGTTCACCCAAATGGCCGCCAACGGCCTCAACAATCACGAATATGCAACAAGTTTCGACAATGATCAAACTTGTTGCTCGGAACCACCTTAGTGAGCATATCCGCCGGATTATCCTTCGTGTGGACTTTCACAAGTTCCACATCACCATCTTCAAGAACATCCCGAACGAAGTGATAACGAACATCAATGTGCTTCGTCCGCGCATGAAAAACCTGATTCTTCGCCAAATAGATAGCACTCATGCTATCACAATGAATAGTGACGGACCTCTGCGATATACCAAGTTCCTCCAAAAGTCCTCGAAGCCAAATAGCCTCCTTCACAGCCTCCGTAACTGCCATATACTCTGCCTCCGTCGTAGACAAAGCCACCGTCGACTGTAAGGTGCATCTCCAACACACCGGCGCCCGGGTCAAAGTGAACACATACCCCGTCGTAGACCGGCGCTTATCCAAATCCCCGGCATAATCCGAATCAACATAACCAATGCATAGCTGCTCACCTTTAGTGTCCCGCTCATAAACCAAACCAACATTGAGTGTACCTCTAATGTACCTCAAAATCCATCTCACGGCGTCCCAATGACCCACTCCTGGATCATGCATATATCTCAAAACCATGCTCATCACCTGTGACAAATCCGGCCTCGTACATACCATCGCGTACATCAAGCTCCCAACCGCACTCGCATATGGAGTCTTCGACATCAACTCACGATCTTCAACTGACTTCGGTGAAAGACCAGCTGAAAGCTTCAAATGGGCTCCCAATGGTACACTAACTGGCTTCGTATCCATGCTAACATGGAATCGCTGTAGAACCTTCTTCAAATAAGCCACCTGTGTCAAACAAATTCTGCCCTTCTTCTTGTCTCTGCCGATCTCCATCCCTAAAATGCGCTTCGCCTCGCCCAAGTCCTTCATCTCAAACTCATTTGAAAGCTGAACTTTCAACTCATCTATAGCCGACCTGGAAATAGAGGCAACCAACATGTCATCGACATAGAGCAACAAATAAATGTACGCACCTCCTTTCAACTTGCGAAAATATACGCAAGGATCAAACTGGCTCCGAGTGTACGAATGACCAAGCATAAAACCATCAAATCGCCTATACCACTGTCGAGGAGACTGTTTCAAACCGTATAGCGATTTCTTTAATCTGCAAACAACTGGCTCCGAGTGTACGAATGACCAATCATAAAACCATCAAATCGCCTATACCACTGTCGAGGAGACTGCTTCAAACCGTATAGCGATTTCTTCAGTTTGCAAACTAATTTTTCTTTCCCTGCAGCTCGGAATCCCAATGGCTGAGTCATATATATTTCTTCATCAAGATCACCATGAAGAAATGCCGTCTTCACATCCAACTGATCTAACTCTAAACCATACTGTGCCACCAAAGCTAGCAAAATCCGAATCGAAGAATGCTTCACCACCGGAGAGAAAACCTCATTATAGTCAATACCTTCCTCCTGTGCATAGCCCTTCGCAACCAACCTAGCCTTGAATCTCAACGGAGTGCCTTCAATGCCCTCCTTCTTCGTGTATACCCACTTGCAACCAATTGCCTTCCGCCCCTTTGGAAGCTCAACAAGCTCCCATGTATCGTTCTTATGAAGAGATTCCATCTCCTCCTGCATAGCCACCTGCCACGAATCAGCCTCCGAACTCTGCTCGGCCTCTCTGAATGTAGTAGGCACTAACTCATCGATACTCTCCACCGGAAGTGCATACGCAACTGTGTCGGCATACCGTGCTGGCATCTGTATGTTTCTCCTCTGTCTCCTAGCCGCAATAGAATCCTGAACCTGAGCCGTCGGTTCCTGATCCTGCACATTTGTACTCGTATCCTCCGTGTCACCGTCGTGCTCGCCTGGCGTCACCTCAGTCGGCACCTGCATGGATACTGTACCATCTGGACAATGTGGAGCTGCATCGATCTCCACCACCTGCGATATCTCCTCCGTCGGATCGCTCTCCACCTGATGAGAGCTGGGAAGCTTCAAGATAGAAGCCTCATCGAATGTGACGTCCCTACTCAGCACAATCTTCTTATCCACTGGATCCCAAAGCTTGTATCCCTTGACACCACGCTTGAATCCTACAAATATGGCCTTTCTAGCTCGAGGTTCCAATTTATCAGTTCTAACATGATAATATGCAGGGCACCCGAATACCTTGAGCTGGTCATAGTCATGTGCTGGCTTTCCCGACCACATCTCCATAGGGGTTTTCCCCTCAATCGCAGATGAAGGCAGCCTATTAATGAGGTGGCTCGCATATGTAAGTGCCTCAGCCCAAAAGATCTTCTCCAAACCACTCTGCGACAATAAGCATCGGATCTTCTCCAGTAAAGACCGATTCAACCTCTCTGCCACCCCATTTTGCTGCGGTGTATGACTAACCGTGAAGTGTCTCTCTATGCCCTCGTCTCGACATAGCTGCTGAAAGGGGTCAGAAGTATACTCACCACCGTTGTCGGATCGCAACGTCTTGATCTTTCTCCCAGTCTGCAGTTCCAATCTCTTCTTCCACTCCACAAACAAATCTAGGACTTCACTCTTCTTCGTCATGGTGTACACCCAACAACGCCTAGAATAGTCATCTACAAAAGTGACGAACCAATGTCTACCACCAAGTGATGCAGTCTTGGTGGGACCCCAAACGTCTGTGTGCACGTAATCCAGGATGCCCTTCGTCTGATGAATGGCAGTCCCGAACTTCACCTTCGTCTTCTTGCCAAGAACACAGTGCTCACAGAACTCAATCTTCCCACTCTTGGCTCCCTTCGATAGCCCCTGCTTACACAATGTCTGCAGTGACTTTTCACCTGTGTGCCCCAACCTATAGTGCCAAAGTCTGCTCATGTCCGCTTCTGAAATAGCCGAAGCAACCTGGCCAATCTCGGTGCTTCCCTTCAGATAATACAAATTCCGATTGCGGACTCCCCTCATCACCACCAATGATCCCTTAGTAACCTTCGCTACAGCGTTTTCGAAAGTCACCTTGAATCCCTTCGCCTCCAAAGCTCCAACTGAGATAAGATTTTTCTTCAGTTGAGGAACAAATCTCACCTCCTTCAACTCACGGACTACTCCATCGTGCATCCTAATCCGCACGGTACCTATCCCACAAACGCCACAGGATTGATCATTTCCCATGACAACAACGCCCCCGTCGACTTTCTCAAAAGATGCAAACCAGTCTCGCCTAGGGGTCACATGAAAAGTAGCGCCGGAATCAAGCATCCAATCTGATGCATCCACATGGTTCACCTCCGGAGTAATCAGTAGAGAAAAGCACGAATCATCGGAATCATCGCCTTTCGCAATGTTCACCTCATTGGCCTTCGGGCCCTTTTTCTTGCCATTCTCTTTCTCCTTGAGCTTCGGGCAGTCTCTCTTCCAATGTCCCTGCTCCTTGCAGAATGCACATTGGTTCTTTGTTAATTGGTGGCGGCCTCTAGACTTTGACCTCCCTCTGTTACCACCTTTCGGATATGGGCTTCTACCTCTTGTCGACAAGGCCTCTCCTGAAGTACTAGCGCGGGAAGTCTCCTTATCCTTCCTCCTCAAATCGTAGTTCGTCAAAGCGTTAGTCACTTCACTATAGCTGATAGAAGATCTCCCGTTCAACAAAGTGAGCACGAAGGTATCATACTCCTCATCCGGTAAGGAGCCCAACAAAATAATCGCCTTGTACTCATCCGATATCTTCTCATCAACATTCGCCAAGTCCGACAACAACTTCGTATAGTTGTTCACATGAGCCGCAAGCGAGGTGCCTCTGGACATCTGGAATCTGAATAACCTACGCAGCAAGTGCAATCGGTTCTCAACACTCTTCGTAAGGTACTTATTGTTGAGAATTTCCCACATCTTCATCGCAGACGTCACCCCAATCACATCATACTTCAGCTCCTGTTCCAAACAGGACCTGATCACCCCACAAGCGTTCCTATTCATTTTCTCCCATACCGCCTCTTCATATTTAGGTGGCCTCTCGTGGACCATGATGGTCTCTTCCAAATTCTGAGCATTTAACGCATCCTGTACGTCGCTCATCCACAAACCAAAGTTGATTTTTCCGTCATATTTCACCACACTAATTTTGGTGTTTTGAAAACCAACTTGTATTGTACCCGCCATCGATTTGCTGCTTTCACCTTCTTCTCCCATTGCGAACTAACTCCAAATTGTAGAGAAAGAACAAATTTGATAGAATTAGGAACCACCCAACTGAAGATCGCAATAAGAATTCTTGTTCCCTTTGAGAAACAAGAATTCTTATTGCGATCTGACTCTCTTGTTGTGCTGCCGAAGTGCTGCCGAAATTTCCGCTGCGCGCAACAAGGACACAGGTACTGCTCCGGGTAGAAGTACCCATGCAACATGGGGAAGCCCAAAAGAGGACTAGCTTCAATGGTCGGTCTGATTTGTATGCTTTAGATATTATTCTTATCTTTCAGACAAGATGAGAATAAGTTAGAGATTTGATTTGGTTAGATCATATTACATGGTTGAAGTATGAGTTCTTAGGCTTGATCTAGTAGGTGGATGTTTGAGATTTGCATCTCTAATAAAAGAGTTTGATGTAATTAGAAGTATGATGTTATGTTGATTGCGAATTACTGGATCATTTGATTGAGGGTTGTGATTCCCTCTGGAATTGTGAGGGTGTGATTAATTACCTCTCTTATCTATGTGAGAGTAGATCCTTATTTCTCTACTCTTTATCTTTAGAGCATAAAATAATGCAAGAAGTATGTCTAACATGAGAAAGAAGAAACCACATACCTTCTACTAATTGCTTGTATTTGAGCAGCCTTGAGAGCATCCTGAGGAGCCACAGATCCATTATCCCACGATTCCATCCCTTGCACGTCACCAATAAACAGAACCAACTTCTCCAAGAACCTCACCTCATCATCACCCATTCTTATAACCTTTATTTGCTCCTTGAGAACAATTATAGGTTGAAAAAGCCAATCCATCAACCGATCCTGAGGCCGGTTCAGATGGTTAAGTTCAGTACCTGAGCTAAGAAGTAGACCGGCTGAGCCAGCATTGATTGAGTAAAGTATACTGTGCAACAAAGCGTAGGATGGGAGGCCGAGGCCAATTGTTTCTTGGTTGGTTCCCTTTGTCCTTAACCACTCGGTTAGGTCAACCGACGAAAAGGCATTTGCATCTAGTAGTTCCTTTCCTTTCAATTCACAGCATTTCATTAGCTCCTCCCATATCTGTACAATAAAGTTCTGTCAATTTATACATTCATTGGAAATGAAGTCATTATTTTATATGAACATCAACGCGCAAGATAAATGTGTAAGAGAAGGAGAGAATTAAACCAAAGTATTATAATCAGTGCTCTTTAAGTTTTTGCCACAGCCTCGGTTTTGCAGAACGGTATTTCTTTTTAATCCGCTCCTAGATATGAATTTGGTCAGATTTGAGCAAAATGTGATCAAATGGGGGAAAAGACACCCTTTTCATAATAGGTGCCAAAATTATGATGCACCCTTTCACAAAATGTTGTCATGAAGAACCTGGCATTGCACTTGGATATATGTGTGCTAGAATTTGAACATGACTCCTTGAGGAAACAATCTGTGTATTTTTGCACTGAAGGGATATGCTTAAGAGGAAACATAAATACAATTCAATAGTAAAAATAAATAAATAGAAACAAGACTTATTTATTGTCAGAACATAAGATAATAACAATAAATTTTCACCACAACTTTTAGAGGGTTGTGGCATCAGGCGTGTACTGCAAGGAACTGTAAAATGGTAATGGAGCAATCCAGGATCAAAGTCCATCAGGCACGCATTCGAAGCAGATTTAAAAAGTATCTTTGTGAATAAAAAATTCAGGTTTCAGTTCATGAAGAGGGCACACAATATGTGGGGGCATGTTAGAACATAAGTTTAGTAAATATCATCTCTTTTTACTAACTCAATCATCAAAACCATGTAATGCATTTACATTTTAACCAAGTCAAATGTAAAGGTGAGTAAACTGACAGTATTAAAGAATAAATATAACGAATTTATACTCCAATACACAGATCAAGAATATGTGTGGTCATTTATCCATGTCCTTATATCCTACTGCTTATCTTTTGCCGCGTTGGACATTTTAGAACATTCAGACACTTGTCCATAACCATGTAAAAGCGTGTAAACCAGCACTTAAAAATATTCAAGCTCATCCATGGTCTCCAAAAATAGCCTATGTTTAGGATCATTATCTCGCTAAATACTATAGCTAAACTTTAATTTAGTTATACTATTTCACGATTATAAATTACTTAGAATACTTCTGCGTGTTTTAATTTTTGAAAAAATACGAAAACCAAAATTCATAATGACAGCTCAAACCAGGACCAGAACTGAGACTAAGTTCTTAAATCTTGCTAGACATTTTCAGATAAAAATTATACGAGAATTACATTGTCAATATTTTTATATAGGGTTAATTACAGAAGCATGCCCCCTAAACTTTCCTATTAGCACTCAAACCTCCTAGAATTCAGACCACGTTATTTGTTACATCGATTTAAAGGGAATTTAGTCTTTTGTCCGTTACCTTGTGATATCTCAATCTAAGAGGGACAATAATGCAGTCTGAAGTTAAGGGGTGAAGTGCTATTAAATAGAGGTATAGATCTATACCCTCACAGTATATGGAAATTATCTGCCATTAATCCTTTTTAATATTCAACCAATAAATACTAGGATTTGAGAAACTAAGCTAATGATGCAGGACCAAGTAGTTAAAGAGGTCCAGGTGGATATTGTTTTGACAACAAAACTCTTAAGATACAAATTAGAAGTAAAAAAATTTTACCTGCACCATCTTAACTTCTTGGATTGCCTCTCTGACAGATCTTGAAGGACCCAAGTTGGGCACCAACATTGCAGGTGCACCTGAAGAACTGGAGCCAGCTTTTCCTCCTTTAACAACACTACTTCCAACTGAAAGTTCAGCTGAGTGAGATACTTTTCTCTTCCGGTATTTTGGCCTGAATGTGCAATACAAAACAAGTATTACAGAAACTAGTCCTATGAGACAACTGGCTAGAGAAATAAAAAATATCATAGATCAATGACTTCATACTTAACAAAATGGGTAAGTTTTACAAAAACCCAAGAAGTTTGGGGATTTTTGCACAACATCCCCTTCCATACGAAACTATACAAGTCAAAGAAACCCCCATGAACTTTCAATATTATATTAAACCTCCTTGAACTATTGGAAAATCTCTTAAAGGAATTAACAAGTAGTTCAGTTATGACAAATCAAAGTTTGTAGTTTGAACTACGGTTATTTGCACTTCAATACCCTAAGGTTTACATTTTTTTAACTTTGCCCCAACGTTTTTATCTGACACTTTGATGCCGCAAAATTTACACCTATTCTGACATTGATACCCTTACCCTTTTTTCGACATTTTGATACCCCCAGACGTTAAACGTTTTTCAACTTTAATAGTTATATTTTTGACAGTTTGATACCCCAATTTAAAGTTAAAAAAGGTGTAAACTTGGGGTGTCAAAGTGTTGCAAAAAGCATTGGGGTATCAAAGTCAAAACAGAGTAAATGTTGGGTACCAAAGTGCTGATAACCCTTTGAGTTATGACAAATCAAAGTTTCTAGTGAAAACCATGAATGAGAAAATGTGAAACTCTGAAACCATGGAAAAAGGAAAGAACAACTACTTTGGAAGAATAGACCCTTCTCTAAGATAAAGCCAATCATTTGTATATTCATCAAACTCTGACACCATGGCAATGACATAAGCAACTCCCCTCTGGAAAGATCTTTCCTGGACAAAATAGCAGCACAAGTTAGATTTCAATATAAGATAGGATCTAAAGTAAAAATACTTCAATAGCACCACAAGTTCACCTGATACACGACAACTGATCCATATAAGCCAATAAATATGCTCGAGATGATAGCCAATAAAATGCTCCCAACAACGACAAGTGGCCAAAAAAGAATTGTTAAGCCAGCAATTGGAACACAAGCTGTTTCAAGAAAAGGGCCTTCTCGGGTTATGAGATCATGTAACAGCCTCTGCCAACCTTTGAAGAGCATATATGGACTCTTTATTATTGCTATGACAGTGAAAAGTGGGATATCCACAACTAGACCCATTAGACCCACGACAACACAAGCTGGCACCTCCATCAACCTGCATATAAATTTTAGCTGTCAAATCTACTATATTGACTTAAAACTGAATATAATGTAGGGTAAATTACAAGTGTTAGGGTACGAAACTATTACTCTCAACACCTCATCACAACTTTGGAGTTTTGGAGTTTTGGTGTTGTGACAGGGACTTGACAACAAGCACCCCAGCTGCTGCCACCCCCCAAATAAAAACAAAACAAAACCCTCTCATCTGAAAAGTTCAATAAAAAGCACACCTCATTGATGACGATCAATGAAACTGTAATTTTGTAATGGAGTTTTGTTCTTCAGATGTCTGGATAAACGTTTTCACTTGGGTTGACATCTTGAAGGATTTTTTTTTTTTTTTTGGGTTTGGCGAGGGTACTTCCCCACTATCCTTCAAACCATGGGTATCAAACCCTCAGGCGTGGCTAAAGGGCACCCTCAATGCACGACCTCAGTTATTCTAGAAAATTAAATTCCTGTGGGTACTCCCTAAGAGAGTCGAATTTGAGACATTGGAGTACTGCTCATAGGCAACTTATCAACTCAGCTAGATCCTCTTGGGTATCCAGAAGGACCTTTTCCCTTTAGAATTCACAGATGTAGGGAGATGAAATGAAGAATATAGAGAACAAAAAGCTACAGAAGAGATAAAATAAAAAAACTAATTTTTTTTTTCTAATTAACCTAGAGTTTGCAGGCAGACGTCTACCCAAACATCTGAAGGACAAAACTCCATCATAGAACTAGTGGTTACATTAATGATTAAAAATCATAGATGATGGACTCTTTTGTTCAACTTTTTAGTGTGGACATTTCTTGGAAACAACAGAATATAGACGGAGGTTTCTTGGAATTTATCAACAATAATAAATCTACAACAGAAAATGCTAGTATGTTCTGTTAATACTAGCTCATAATTTTAATTAGTGAATCAATGAAGGCCAAAAGCCAAACCATGTATATTAACTCCTTTTTCTCATTGTTTGCGCTTGAACTCATGCTTGAGCATTTTATAATCTCTGTGGATTTGTTGTAACAACATCTTATCACTTCTCATACCATACAAAAAGGTAATTATTTGAAGCATAGGATGTCCTGGAATTTGTAAGATAGCCAATCCAGTTGTTCATAAATCATGATAACCAATCCAGTTGTTCATAAATCATCCTCTCTGCATGTGCATGCTTGAT